AGCAAGCTGTTAATGGCAGTGTACTTGGAACAATATAGGGTATAGATCAGATAAATCGTACTCACTTCAGAAATGATGGTAAACTTGGCCTGGCCTGGGACACATAGAAGGCTGGTGAAGAAAAGTTTTCCTGTAATGATTCAGGTTTTCTCACCACTTACTCTCGAAGGCTCAAGGCATTTTGTAGCTGGAAGCTGCCTAACACCCAAACTCATTGTTCTCTATGGCATTGTTCACACATTGTTTATCCCCATGGACTTCAATGGAAACACCTTAAAATGCACGTCGCAAGCATTTTTCTGCCGTTTTGTCACAGATGCATAGATGTGTAAAAATACCCTCAAACACTTAATGGACCTTTACCCATATCTTTAAAATAACAACAAACACACCTTTAGAAATCTTTAGTAAAGACAATATACAAACAGATGCTTCTAGATAATTGCAGGCTTTGTATTCTTTGCATTCCTTATGTCTTTTTTCTTCCCCAGTCTTCTGACAGTGGCCATGTTTACTAAGGGCAGATTACTAGCTCTCCTTTTACAGCCTGGAACTCTGGCACATGTGACCATGCACATCATCTCTGGGGAGGAAAATGCCTTTCCCTGAGATCTCGTGAGATTACAGATGAGATTTCCCAGCAATGATCTGCGGATGACAAGGCAATCCCAGTGTGCAATGCTTTGGCAAACTGACGTCATTTTGCCTTTTCAAAGCAGGAAGTGAATGCTCTGCAAGTATAAGTATTTCAAAATCACAGCATTTTACATCTGACATATCTATGTTATTATTAATCATCATACATAGAGGGATGCATTGGTAGAATTTTATTTTTAAGTGTAAATGTCCACTTTAAAAAATACAAGTTTGAATCCAGACAAACAATAAAAGATTTGACAGGCTGCAAATCTCAGCTACTGTACATGGTACTGTTGCTGTTATCTTCTCAGCAGACATTTGTATTACTCGTACCTATTATGGGTCATTAATTCTATCAGTAGCATGTTGCTACGGATTACTGCTCCTCTTGTACATATTACTTGGCATCACCACTGACATACACTGATTTCCTTATTAATGTAATTTTTGTCAAGAAAATGTGCAGCACATTGGAGGAATCAGAGGACACTTCTGTGGCTAGCTCTGGTTGACCATTACTACATAGATCCGGTGTAACATAACTGAAGCCTTCCTACTGAGGAAGGCTCCTGAGTTGCTGTTTTCTCATGTTCCTGGTAAGTTAACCTCTTTGTTGTGTGCACATCAATCCGATGAAGGCAGCAGGCCAGATCTGGCTGGCAGTTTTATCATTTTCTGGGCAGTGAAATGCAACCCATCAAGGATGCCTAATATTGGTCTCTGCAGAAATATATGCAAACTGGGGCATGAAGAACACCAGTTTTACAAACGTGTCCTTGCATGAAGTGTCATTGAATACTATGGTATCATATATTTAGCATTTTTTGCTCATGTGGCTAAAAAAATAAAGCCTTGCAGAACATGGCAGAAAAAGCTGGGCTGACAGTAGGTTCATTTAAACATAAATTCCATATTCTTTCAATTGTATTATCTCGACTGCTCTCAAAACAGTTTTGTATATCTCTTTTTTTTGTACAGATTTTAATTGCTTTGCTCAGTTTTTCATCAATGTAAATATGCCACATTGAAGAGTTTGCAGATATGTGGTGATTTGAAATGCTTTTCTATTAACAAGATTTTGTTCTATGTTCTATCGTGCAAGTTTGTAACTGTGAATGTGTGTGTATATATTTATATAATACAGGGTATATATATATATATATCGCCGTCAATTTACTCGGCACTTTTCCATACGGTACATCAGTACTGTACATCAGTCCCAGCCCTCAAGGAGCTTTCAATCTAAGGTCCCTATCTCACAAGTATACATACATCTTTTACTGCCAAAACAGCCCTGACCCGTCGAAGTTTGGCACCAAGCCATCAGTAGCAGATCCTTTAAGTCCTGTAAGTTGTGAGCTGGGGCCTCCATGAATGGGATTTGTTTTTCCAGATCTGGAGAATTTGGAGGGCAAGTCAACATCTCAAACTTGTTGTGTTCCGCAAACCATTCTTGAACCATTTTTGCAGCGTGCCAGGGCACGCTGAAAGAGGCCACTGCCATCAGAGAATACCGTTCCGGCCATTGGCACTCTGACTGGTCTGTGGCTATGTAGCCGCATACCTTACAATCTGCGATGCACTGTGTGTTCAGACACCTTATCGAAGCTTCAGCAATCTGAGCTACTCTTCCGTTGGATCAGACTACATGGGCCAGCCTTTGCTCCCCACGTGCATCAATGAGCCTTGGCCACACATGACCCTGTTGTCAGTTTACCAATTCTCCTTCCTTAAACCAGTTTTGGTTTGTCGGTCCTGATCACTGTAGATTGAGGCCATCCCACAAGAGCTGCAGTTTTGGAGTTGCCCTGACCCAGTCGTTCAGCCATCACAATTTGGCTCTTGTCAAAGTTGCTGTAATCCCTACAATTGGCCATCAGCGAACACATACCGCCAATTACTGACTTCCCTATCCTCTCCCTGCAGAGAGCGGTGACTGTCAGTCATGGGATTCCCCCTCTCCCCTCCATTTCTCCAGCACTGACTGGAAGAACAGATGGGGTAGGGGGCGGGCACAGCTGTCTCTGGCTCTGGCTCTAGAGAGGCAGAGCCAGCTGTCAATCAGCCAGCGGGGAGGACCTCGACAGTATTGTCGAGATCCATCCCGGTTGTGGTGAGGCTCTGCGCCCTCAGCATATAGGGGACAATAGCCCACTGTATAGTGAGTTTTGGGTCACCAGAGGACTATAGTATATGTCCTCCTGTGACCCTGAAGAGAACTATGGGCAAAAAAGGTTAGGTGGCTGTTTTCGTAAATATTCCACTGATTTAATTATAGTAAATGGAAAATGTTATGGATCGCTGTAAATTTGTATCAACTTATTAAGCCATCTTGTGTAACTGTAGCTAATTTAATTCTGAGTTCTCGCTTCTTTATATATTCAAGTAATATAATATTTGTTTTCTATACACATTTTTTTGTTTGATGTAAAATTTTAAATATTGCAGAAGGTGTTAATGAGGCATAGTGTGCTTTTTATTAATGTAATTAGTCCTTACGCCTTGTATGATTGTGACATATGTTTGCCAGATAAAGTGCAAAACATTTGATCAAAAATTGAAGCTATATGAAAGTAACATATGTTTGTTTACAATGTATATACAGTTCATTTTTCTTTATCTGAAGTAACATTCACAATAAATGATAGATAATGTTAGATAACATCTTATGCCAACGTTCTGATATCTTTTAATAGGTGCAACATGTCTACTCCCTGCCACGCTGCTCTGTTCTCAGGAGCATTAATCCCCACACTTGACTCCCCCGCCTATAAGAGCACCAAGGTGGCCACTGAGCACTCTTGTTAGAGAAGTAGAGTAGAAGGAGAATGGAGCTTTTAATAACAAGATAAAACCAAGGTCAGAGGAGCACCCAGAAGAAGCTGGCTAACAGATGTAATAGCAGGCACCTTGTGGCATGTACTTAGACAGGGCTTTTATATTTAAAAGTTTACAGGTTTGCTTTTATATTGGATACTTTGTTACAGCATATGCAATAGATTTTGTACGCACCCACTTTATGGCTGGCATAATGGAAATCCGAAGATGTTTTAGGTAAATATGAAATCCAGCATAATATATCTTGCAGGTGGAGCTGTAGCGTGCCTTGTCCAATTTTCCAGGCTCTCTGTTTGCTTCTTTGATGTAAAGCATGCGAGTCATCCTTTTTAGGACCTCTGAAACAAAGATTTAGTGATCCAACTTTTGAATCTTGTTTCATGTTGCCTGACTCAAGAGGTGCTTTTTCCTGCAGCATTCTGTATTTTTATTTCATTTAGCACTACTGTGGCTCTGCCTGCGCGGTCTCATCATCCATTCACAGAGATTTGTGAATGAGAAAATTAGAAGTTCTATCTGCCACTGTGTCAGAGGGACTCACAGATCGCGCCAGCACAAGCTCATTAACATCACTGCACTTGGAGTCCATTGTTTACATCCTCCAGCTCCATAGCAGAAGGTCCGTATGGAATCTGTATAAGGGCTGGGAGTACTGGAACCTGTGCATTGGACCTACAATGCACAGACTGCACTGTAGACGTTTTTATTTTTTTTTAAAGCTGGATTTTGCCTTTAAGGTGTGATCAAACCCTTGGACTTTCATATTCATACCTGATGTGTGCTTTGAAGAGTCAGAACTTGTTACACAAGCTCTGCATAGGCTGTGGGGGGAAGTGCTGGCATTACACTACTTTCATCCTCAGAAATCAATGAAAATAGTGTTTTTCCAGTACTCGATTCAAAGTCCAGATGTTCACTAATAGTCTGTTACAGTACTTTTTATTCATCATAGGATTGAAATATGATTACCTCCAAAATGTTTCTTTATTACAACAGTTGGCATGTAGGTGCAATGAAATATCATTGGCTTTCTTCTGTGAAAATATGTTATTACAGATTAAACGCTGCTTGCTGGTCACTGATTCTCTTTCTGGACAGGAAGTGATGGGCAATCTCAAAGACAAAAACATTTTTAGTAGTGCGAGGAAGCGTTAAAAACTCTGACAATGTTTTTTCATGCCAGACTTTCTTGTCCTGGTGACAACCCGTCCCTATCACTTCTTGCACAGATGTCGTCAGGACAAAATGTGAGGGGAAAATGTCCCTAATGGGGTCACAGGCAGAAATAAAAACCTGACTGAAATTGTAATTCTTCCCCACTCTATCCAACACTTAAAAATGGCCAAAATTATTCTTTAATTGTACATTCTCTGTAAGTTTTTAGATTTTTTGCATTTTGTATTCTGATTCATGCAGCAGATGTTTTTCTTTGTCATATTTGCCGTATTTTAATTAGCATTTTGGCATGCTGTTTATAGCTTGATTATTTAGCAGTTACGTGTTGTTTTTTTGCTTATTTTTAGATATCAGATTGTTTTGGAAATCATTCAAGCAACTACAATTGGAAGCTTTCCCCAGATGAAGAGGCAGAAAGGTAAGTAGGTGTTCTGATAATAGTAGAATCAGCTTGTATTCTTAAGTACATGAAGCTGTGACCAGAGGTCCGAGTACATTACATTCCTGGCCTGGCTTTTATCACTTGTAGCAAAAATGTGTTTTGAATGGGGGGTTTTAGGTGCTTAATGACAGAGCCACAAATAATTACATCAAATTTGTGAAAAATACATATTCATCATGATTAAAAGTAAATAAAACCATATATAAAAAGCTGTTATTACAGCAAATGGTCACATGATTACTTTCCTTCAATGTATAGAGATATATGCACCTCTAAAAAAACACCCCAATTCTTACTCTAAGATATAAATCTAAGAGGAATAACCACATATTGTGCCCATTTGTTGTAATAATAGCTTTTTATATATGGTTTTATTTACTTTAATTCATGAAAAATAAAGATGTATTTCTTACGAATTTGATGTAATTATTTTTGGCTCTGTCATTAAAAGAGAACTATGGGGTAAGTGGTTTTCCCCATAGTTCTCTTTAGGGTTACGGGAGGACATATACTAATCTCCTTCTCTGACCCAAAGCTCAATATATAGCGGGTTATTGCCCGCGTTATACTGAGAGCGCCCCAACAGGGACGGATCCCGACAATACTGTCTAGATCCACCCAGCTGCGTGAGCGACAGCTGGCTCTGCTTATCTCGAGGCAGAGCCAGCTGTGCCCGCCCCCTCTCCTGTCCACTCAGCGCTGGAGGATCGTAGAGGGGACCGGGGGAATCCCTGCGGGGAGCAGTGACTGACAGTGACCACTCTCTGCAGGGAGATGATCGTAAAGTGAGCGAGTGACAGTATGTGTTTGCTTACTTCCCGATCAATAGAGCCGACCTCTGACAGCTTCTTTGTCACAAGTCGGCTAACTATGAGGATGAGTGGAAATCAATCACCTCATGGCTCTCCTTTTAAGCACCTAAAAAAACCCCATTGAAAACGCATTTTTTTCTATTGTGGGGTGTGGTGCTGGTCATTCAGGGATATTTACAAATCTTTTTCATAGACACTTGTACTTGAGATGCTTGTACGTTGTGTCTGGGTTTCACTGTCTTAAATGTAATGGTGAAATCCAATTAAGCCTATTGCCCATCTGCACAAACACAGCATGCAGCCTGACCTGTAACATACTTTACGAATCTCATCAATGAGTGTATGTTTTAAGGTCTTTAGTGTAAATGTTATTGCATTTGTGATACTTGTAAACATATACAGTTACAAAAAAAAAAGTTTGTGAACCCTTATGAGTTTTATGGATTTCTGCCAATGTTGCCATCTGCCTAGTTTTAGAAACCACAGTCTGGTTAAAAATCTTTCCTCCTACTTATTCTGCTTCCCCTGTTTAATGGAGAAAGAATGAGGAAATTGTGTCTGTAGTCCAAATCAGAATAGCAGTCTGGGGTCTGGGTCACCACCATGACTTCTTCCATAGATACAGTGTAGTAAGTAACAGTAGCCACCCTAGAAAAGGAAGTTTTTTGATCACAGGATTACCAGGTTATAACAAAAGGAGAGAAACAAGAATAAAGAGGAAAAAAGCCTAAAAAAACGAATGCAGCCGCTACATCTAAGGGGCTGGTTTTAAACAGATTTTTTTGCCTTTAGTATAAGTACAAGGTCTCATTTAAAGGAGAACTTCATTAATTTTAAAAACATAACTGTTCTTTTTGTCTTGGTTGCTCAAATAAAGCAGATATAGTCTGGGGTCTGGGTCCCCACCATGACTTCTTCCATAGATACAGTGTAGTAAGTAAGAGTAGCCATCCTAGAAAAGGATTACAATCTAAGGATCTCTGAGATTGTAAGCCCTCTCGAGCCGAGCCCTCCTTACCATCTTGTCTTGAATTGTATTGTAATTATAACGTCTTCCCTATATTTTAAAGCGCTGCGCAAACTGTTGGCGCTATAGAAATCCTGTATAATAATAATATAGTCGCCTGATCCTCGGTCCTGGGGCAGTTGGCAAACACGTTTGTCCCTCTCCGCTTCAACTGTGGAATGTCCCGCGACATTCTCACATCTAATGTGGGTTTGTGGATAAGCATTAGAGGTGATGATGTCAGTGATCCTTAGACCACCAGAGCACAGGGGAGAAGAGGCTGCAGGGACCGGTCTAGCAGCCCAGTGGGCCCAAGCATCAGATGAGTATATGTCATTTAGTTGCACCTCCTAGACAAAATGAGCAGGTAACTCTTACAGTGCGGGGGTAGCCCTACTACAAGGGTAAGATTTTAAATTCCCAGAGTTCTTCTGTAAGCATCACAAATATATTTTTGCTTTGCTTTTGTCACTTTCTCCTGTGGGTTAAGTACAACAATTATTTGGTCATATTAATTTTTGGACTATACGCTTCAATAACCGCATTTTTAACGCATTATCAGGCTTAATTTATCATTTTGGGAAGGCAAAATTATGAGGTTGTAGATGAATCAGTTCTAATATGCTGTTGCAGTGCACAGGCATAGATAACACAAGCTCTGTCAGACCACTGATGTCACACTCCTAAATAGGGAACTATTGCTCACAGCTTTCTGTTTTCTATGCGGCTGATTTTCCAGCTTTTAGGCTTGGCAAAAAGATGAGCGTTGCTATTCAGAACAGAGTCTGATAAAAACAATTGTAGATACCCGTAGGGAGAGCGGTGTGACTTATTTCTTATATGGATTTGGGTCTGGCTTCCTTCCTGAGCAACTCCATTCCCTGTGGTGACATAATGTTTGTAGATAATAACAGATCTCGGGCACTATTATGGCTACAAACTGGTACTGGTGGAAAAAAATGAAACCGGTTGTCCTGAATCTCTATTCTATTCTAATAAATGGCAGTAATATGATTTTCGAGGGAATAAAACCCAGGAGATAAGAATTTAGACTTTGAAGGGGAGCTTCCAGAACCATTTAAGAAATGTTTAATATGTTTGCTTTACTTACTATAATACATTGTGGGAAATCTTTTTTGAAATTCTGAAAAGGTGAAATCCCACTAATAGGAACCTGAGCAGCAATAAAGACCTGATGCATGCTGTAACCCTTTCTGTGCTGTGTAAACACCTGCAATACCCAACATGACTAGGTGCAGCATGAGACTGGAGCAGGACGTAGAATATAATGTAGGATTTCAGACATACACACACACACACAGTAGTCGTTTGGTTAACAACCACCCATTTCATTTGCTTTGACTATTCCTGTTGTTTTTTATATTAGAATTACATTTTTGACAGTTAGATATTTATTAGAGGTGCACTGAAATAGAAATTTTAAAATGAAACCGAAAAAAATAAAAAATTGTCAGGCCGAAACCGAAAATTCTTTTTTTTTAATTTTTTCAAAATTTTTACATATTTTATTTGTATTTATTTTTTATAAACATTTTAATTTTTTTAATATTTGTATTCATTTTTTACTAAATATTTTGATTGTTTACTTTACTTTTAGGGGCTTCGGGGAAATATTGTTAGTGTAAACAGACCCCTGATATTTCCCTTTTAAAATAGAAAAAGAGATTGAGGACACAAAGTCCTCAATCTCTTTTTCTGTATCCGCTGCTACAAATGAACAGGAATCCTCTATGCTGAGTGTTCCTGTTCATTCATAACATGAGGACATGGTATGTTTACTATAACTACAACTATGAATGAACAGGAGGTGATGTATATCACTTCCCATTCATTCATAATTGATAATATAGTCAACATACAATGTCCTCAATTATCTACAAACACTCAGTGATCGCTGAGTGTTGGTATTTGCTCTCCTTTCTGACAGCTGTCAGAGGGGACTGGGCGAGCGGAGCAGGAAGGAGAGCTCAGCCTCCTGTCACAGCGCGGGCTGTCTCCGCCCCCACACCGCTCTGCCGGACTGTGATAGGAGGCTGAGCGGTGTGGGAGGAGAAACGCCGGCCGCTCACAGTTTTCTCCTCCCTCAGCGCTTGGCCTGCTGTCACTTTCTCTCCTTCCCGCTGTGACACAGAGCAGCGGGGAGGAAAGAAACCTGGGATGCGCCAATCTATCGGCAGGAAAATGGCACTTTCGGCATTAAGCCAAAAGGGCCATTTTCGGCCAATATGTCGGTGCATCCCTAGTTTTTATCTTTATCGAATGGTCTCTATTTTTTAATTTACATCTTTAAAAACCTAACAATAAACATCTGCTATTCGCTCCTTTACATTCCTTTAACTGCTTCTTGTCTGTAGTAGTTTAATTTTTGCTCACACATGATCGTAATTTTTGTCTCTCAAACCGCGTAACACCCCCAAACAAATATATATATTTTCTGAAAGCAGAGGCCCTGTAAAATAAAAAAAATTTTTTTATGTTGCTTGATATTTGCATAGATATTTATCAAATCAATATTTTTAGGATAAAATACACTAAAATGAATTTTAGTGCACACAAGCCGAAAATAATACCCAATTTTTTGGTAAAATATAAAATATGGTGTTGTGTCGGGTAAATGGATACCAAGCATGCCAAGCCTTGAAATTTTACACACCTGTGAAATGGCAAAAAACTACAGCACACAAGCGTGTCCATAAGAGATGCTTTAAAAGCCTTTAACACTCATCATTTTAGCCCTGGAATTATTGCTCTGACTCCGATGTTCACGGCGATATGTAAAATCGTAATTTTCACCCAATATTTGCATCTGTATGTGCATGCACATGGGGGCAGGGGGGCTTTACATTCCATGTGACTTAGCAATAAAGTAGTAAAAAAAACAAAAAATGCAATCACATAGGGGGATAAAAAGTCCCCTATGTGATAGCACAGATACATTGACAGAGTTGAAAGAGTTTTCTTATATTTGTTCACTTATTGCCAAACAAAAAAAAACTTTAGCCTCTCAGAAATTCTGAGTTCTCTGCTGCACTCTACATTTTCTATCTTAAGGAGTCTTATTTATCAGCCTTCCCATTTCTTTCCTTGGGCTGCAAAACTGTTCCCCATTTATGTTGTGAAGATGAGTAGAGGGGGAG